AGTATACAATATCTTTTACATAATGTACATAATTTATATATTTTTGCTAAAAAAAAAAACTTATGGAGAGACATGAAACCATGGACTTAAAGAAAAGACCGTCTTTGGTTAATAATCCGAGCTGTAGGGCCTGCTCTAGTCAATAATTCAGCCTTGTCGGTGCGTTCCGCCTGGCTTTACAGATAAAGTAGAGACATACTGTCATGAAGAGACATGGATTGCAGGTCAGGTGAACTTTTCTTTCTCTCTCCTCAAATGGCACAAGAGATATTGATTCTGGGTCTCACTCTCAGTGAGCTTCACTGAACTGGAGCACCTTAAATAACTACAGAAGAAGAGGGGAGCAGCAGTCTCGAGTCTAGCACAATCTACAATGCTGTGTAAAAGTCTTGTGCCAACCCTCATTCCTTCATTTTTTGTGTTGCAAGGAACCAGACTTTCAAGTAATTTTTAAAATAGTAATAATTGTCCTGCCTTTCTAGACGTCCTGGAAGTTTTTCTTTGGACACTGGCTATTTTTCATATATTTTCAGTCCAGTCCTTGTACCTGATATTTTCAGAGGAAAGGCCTTTTTTTTGGTTTTGTTTATTTGTTTGTTAAGCTCCTTAACAGTGACCTATGAATCATTCAAGTGAAATCTAGGAAAAACAGCAAAAATAACTGTCTGAACATCAAGGTGATTTCTAAAGAGACATTGGCCAAAGTCTTGGTATATCCTGGCATGGCATGTTGTGTCGTTCCTTGGAAAAACTTGAAGAATTTAGAGAAGTTGGAAGCCTAAAAAAACTTCCTACAGCAGCTGAAAAGTATCAAAAAGTCTTGATCTTAAGAATTAGGGACGAAAATCCAGCAAAGACTACGTAAAATACCTGAGAGATACATGTGGCTCTGCAGCAACTACTGTTTGCTGAAGACGCAGGGCATAAAAGGCTAAGGTGTGCCAAACTGCAAAAGAACTGGACTAAAACAACACTGGCAACAGGTCTTATTGAGGGATCAGTCCAAATTTGAAATATGTGTTTTAAATCATCATTGTACAGAGGAGATCAGGAGAGCGATACAAACATGAGTTCCTACGATCGTGGCTCAATAGTTGGTAGTTCGCCTTGTAATCGGAAGGTTGCCGGTTCGAGCCCCGGCTCGGACAGTCTCGGTCGTGGCGCCAGTGTCCGGCAGCCTCGCCTCTGTCAGTGCGCCCCAGGGTGGCTGTGGCTACAATGTAGCTTGCCATCACCAGTGTGTGAATGGGTGGATGACTGAATGTGTAAAGCGCTTTGGGGTCCTTAGGGACTAGAAAAGCGCTATACAAATACAGGCCATTTACCATTTACAGCCATATTTAAAACACCATGGTGGCTCTGTCATGGTTTGGGGCTCCATTTCAGCCAGTGGTGTTTGGGACCATTATTGTACTTATGGACTCATCAACACAGAAAAGTACCATCTGGTTTTGGGTTGGAAAATATCTGATTGTTTCAACATGACAATGGTGAAAAATTACCAAAATGCTGGCAATTAAGCCTGGAGAACTATTCCTAAAGACTACTTCAAGAAATTATAAGAAAATTTGCCTGAGAGAGTTCACGCTCTGAAGCTGCACATTTTTTTCTGTTTAAGACAATAGTTTCTCAGTGTTGCTTTTCCAGAGTAATCTAAATCAGACTCCTCGGCAGTTAGTGGACCTGTAAATAGTTTGTTAAGAAAACATAACAACAGTTGGCAGGAAAATAGAGGTTCTGTGTAAAGTACAAGAGCAATTACTTGCCTGGACTCTAGTACACTTTATGTAACAAGAAGTGTATTTGAAAAGTAGTTAGACTGTGCCATGAATGTAACAATTTACTTTCCTATGCCACTGCTAGGGATTCTCAAAGATTCTATCATAGTTTTTAAAACCTGCTTTTTGTCAGAGTAATCACTTATTATATGCAGGTAAATACTAGTGTTTGTTTAAGTACGTTTGGATTAACCAATGAGTAACATCCAGCAGGTTCAACCAAACATAGCAAACTATTTTCTTGCACCATTCGACCCAAGATTGTTCGAGCTAGGACCCCAACGAGAGCAATTAAAACGCAGAACAGTGTGCTTTTGTTTGGAACCAGTCGCGCATTCGGTTTCACACCATTGGTTTTTCATCATGAGAGGATGTTTCTCTGAGGAAGGAAGCATGTGTACCGTGAAAAACCATTAGTTTTTGTTTATCTTGAAGCAGTATCATGTCTAACAGTTTTGAAAAATTACCCCAAATCACGCACAAATGCAAAGGAGCTTATTTTACGGTCTATTAGTGCACTGTTCAGTGCGCTTATTCCATTGCTTGTTGACTTTTGCTGAGAAAACTTTGGCCAAATGTATCAGGATCTTGGTACAATGAGTAGGAGTTTTTGTTTCCGTCATCTGAGGGCAGCTCATTCCCTCCATCTAATCTCTCTAGACATCCTCCATCAGTGCTACCTTCACCTGCTGTACTCAAAACACATGACCACCTTTTACAGCACTCTCCGTGAAGAGCCAGGGCAAAAAGCTGTGAAAATGAAGACGTTTCTTCTAATTTCACACTCTGCGCTTGATCGTTAGGGTCTTATTATGCCCCATTTGCTTCCCTCCACTGGCTGTGATGAAAGCAGGGCAAAGAGGCCGTGACAGGACAAAAAGGGGCCCTTCATCAAAACACATTTTGTTTGGGGTCTTTTTTAGCCAGATTCAACCCTTCCCCCACATCTCTGCCAACACTTTCCTGGAGTTTCCCCTGTCTGCATCCCTCATTAGCAGCAACCCCCCACCTGTCTCCACATTCATTTTATTAAACTGTGATTGCCCAATGCTCGGCTCACTACAAGCAAGCTGTCCGCTCTTATTTAATTGGCCCACAGCCTCCCTACTGCTCCTCAACAAGTGGGAAGGTCAATGGGTGCTCATGACCTGGGATGATGATGTCTGCCAATACTGGGCAAAAGACAGATTTTTTTTCCTTCCCTGTTAACCATACCCGTGAACTCAAACACATACATCCATGCCTTCCAACTAATTAGGTTTTAATCTGATCTCTAAAGGTACCGGAAGGAAAATGCTCATAATTATAGTGAGATAATCAATATAAGGATTAACGCTAGAAATTCATTTGTAAATAGATAGTCAAGAAGAGAAATATAAATATAAATTTCAATTGAAACACTTTTTTTCTTTTTTAATAGGGAGACTTCAGTTTTTTTCAGTGCTGCCTGGATGACTGGCCCATTTAAGCTTTTATTTAATTTTTTAATGCAGCTTTCTTTTTCTCTCTCATTATTAGTATTATTTTTGGCTGCACATCAGACTTTTCTGTTTAGGTTGGCTTCTGTGATTGTTTGGGTCACGCCAAGCATTACACTAGCAATGATTAACTGGGACATGGGAATTAAGAACTAAAGCTGCTTTAATTAGTAAAAGTGTTTGATAGAATGCAAGTTTGTAACAGGAGGGGTGACTTTTTTCTCCCAAACCGTCAAAATCTGTCAAAATCCTCACTAAGTGGGCACTAATTTGAGAAATTATATCAGCTGTGAAGTGAAGAGTGAAGGGGGAGGAAGAATGGTAGAAGCCGTAGCAGGAGCAGCCAATGCAAAGTGGTTCATGGGGGTGAGAACTGGATTCTTTTCTTGGCTGAGATGCTGGGGTCAAGGTCATGGCCTGCATAGTGGTTAGAGTACATGGTGTTTAAAGCTGGTTTGATCCTTAGCCAAGGGGCAGGAAATCCACAGAGGCTGCATCTGGACTCTGTATAGCTGGAGCGAGAACTTAAATTGGTGTGCAGAATGTGGACTTTGAAGTGGAACAGCATGCTGAAAAAACCTGGAGTAAAATTTGCCCCCTGATTATTCTTTATATGATTACCTGTGTAATATGATTATGCCAGTTTAGTGTGACTTTGATTGTGGAAAATTCATGTCATGTTTTCTCAGTGCTTCACCATAGTGAAAGGCGCTTTCACTACATTTTCAATACCCCATAACAGCATGTGCTTTGAATGTGTCCTATTAAGTTACAATAAAAAAAAAAGAAAGTAGGACACGCTATCATATAAACCAGAACCTCTCTGCTGTGTTCAAGTGACTAATGTCACATCTCCAATTTCTCTTTGAGCGGTATAGCATGTGAAATATTCCTTTACTGAGAAAATGGGAAGGAGCAGTCGAATATAAGAAGTCTAAGCCTGTGGAAAAAGATTTCCTTTTCTATAACCACCCAAAATGCATTTATTTTCCCCAAATGAGATTCTTTCTAAAAGTTTAACATGTACTCTTAAATGCTATATTTAACTCTTGACAGACTCTACCATGCAAAAAACTGCTGCCCGATGAGGCTTGAAACTCAATTCATACCCTGACTTAAAGTATCCAGAAATTAAGCATTAGGAATAACCGAGCAACGTTTTAGAAGCCCTGAAGAGTGAGCCTTTTTTCAGTAGAGGAAGTTCTTTCTATTACTATTGCTACTATTGTTTTGAAAACTGTTATTTTATTGACTGTATCGAATGAAATTAAGTTAAGTATGATTCAAAGTAAGCATGAAACATACTTTAATTTCTTAATAATTACCTTGAGAAGTTGGAGAAGGCTTTTCCTTTTCTCAAGGTAATACTCGTATTTGAACATGCTGGGAGGGCTGGTTCTCATTTGTTCTTTAAGCTAGTGGAATGCATCCTTGCAAAGTTATTAGAGATATTATGTTTCCTCTTACCACGAAGTCATTAGAATCAAAATATTGTTTTAAGCTGATTACTCCCAGTAATTGAAGTTATTAGAAGTGAATGAAAACATACCTGTTATTGCTGGAAACTAGGTAGCTCCGGGACTTGATGATAATTTCTGTTATTAGAAATGATCAGAAAACATTATTGAATATGGCTTACGAGTGTCTCTGTTGCAGGTTTTTTGCTTTCTTTTGTTTTAATGTATTTAAATCAAAGTGTTTTTGAAAGCTGACACAAAATTTATTCCATGTCTTTGATCAACAGTGGGAAGAGGTGAGCGGTTATGATGAAAACATGAACACCATCCGGACGTACCAAGTCTGTAATGTTTTCGACACCAATCAGAACAACTGGGTACGGACAAAATACATCCGGCGTCGTGGTGCGCAGCGAATCCACGTGGAGATGAAGTTCTCTGTTAGGGACTGCAGTAGCATTCCTAATGTTCCAGGCTCCTGTAAAGAGACTTTTAACCTATATTACTATGAATCTGATTCTGATTCAGCCACCAGAACATCACCACCGTGGATGGAGAACCCCTGGATCAAGGTTGACACTATTGCAGCAGATGAGAGCTTCTCCCAGGTGGACCTTGGGGGCAGAGTGATGAAGATTAACACTGAGGTTCGAAGCTTTGGCCCAGTGTCACGGAATGGCTTTTACTTGGCCTTCCAAGATTATGGCGGCTGCATGTCTCTCATCGCTGTTCGTGTCTTCTACCGGAAGTGTCCTCGTATAATCACTAACGGGGCATTATTCCAGGAGACCCTATCTGGAGCGGAGAGCACCTCCCTTGTGGCAGCAAGAGGGGTTTGTATCCCAAATGCAGAGGAGGTGGATGTGCCTATTAAGCTGTACTGCAACGGCGATGGAGAGTGGATGGTACCTATCGGGCGCTGTATGTGCAAAGCTGGGAATGAGCCTGTGGAAAATGGGACTGTTTGTCGAGGTATGTTTTGCTCTCTGTTTTCTCCTTAGACTAGTTAATCAGTCTTCTCTGTCATAACAGTGTACTCCATCAACTAAAGGATATAGTCCTTGCAATTTTTATCTCTTGTAGTGCACTAAGCTGTTCCGAGATCTATTTATTACAATGTAATTGACACTATAAAATGATATTAGGTAATATATCAAGAATATGATGGGAGGTACATATTCTATGCATAGCTTATTCAACATTGGGGCATTTCCATACAAAATATGATCCTATCCTTTTTCCAGCAGAAATAATAGTTGCTGGCATTGGATGTTAAACTACACAGCTACTGTTGTTTGGTTTAAAATCATAACTGCTTTTCAAAGAAGCAGTTGTTTATTAACTTTCCTGCTCTGGAAATTGCAGAACATTTAGAGTAGACCTTAAATTAACCCTTAAATTATACACAATCAGTATGTGATTTTGTTTTGTTTTATCTCCTGTATGAATACATTCTTTATTCCATATGTATATATTTTTGTATTAATATTAGTGCTTTTAAGCATTTGAGCTTCTTCCCAGAGAAAAACACATCTCTGTGCATATTGTTCACAGTGATCAAGTTCAACAGATATTTAAATAAGACTACACACACACGCACACACATGCACACACTCAAATGCTAACAACAATTTTGAATCTGTAAAATTCTTCTGCTTGTAGTATGCCTCCTCTCAACCAGTGGGACAAAGAGGACATTTTTCAAAATTGCACACATTTTCCTGTCAATTGGAATCCCTCTCAGGCAAATCGATTTGGCTTTTCAAAACATCAATGCACCCAACATTTACCTGTGCCATGCCCTATCCACACTCTGCCAGGTGGCATTTGGTCAGCGTGCTTAGAGATGCTGATCACTTGAAGCAGCACAGCAGCGTGTAACCTGCGGACTGCAGCAGTGCTGATCCAGCTCAGCACAACAAACCACCCACCTGCATTTCAGAGCGGTGTGTTGCTGCCTCTCTTATGTGCACCTGTAATTACAGCGCATCCCCTAGCGCCTGTGTGGTTGGAGGGAAAAACTTGATGGGTGCTGCCTCCCCAAACACTGTCAGGCCTGTTCAAGGACTACTAATGGGGACAGGCAGCGGCTCCTCCTTAAGGAATATGGGCCAATAAGAGGCATGTGAAGATGGTGCAGCAAGCTACTCTGATCCACATCCATGCATAATTACACTAATCTGCTTGTTTTCTGACCTACATGTAATTCACTGCATGTGGTGGATTGGAACATCTCAGGGGTGTCCTCAGTCATGGTGTATTTTGAGCTAAATGGGATTATACAATTAAATGTTGTCCACTCAGGGAAAGTATGTTGATCCACTTCATATCCTCACTGCGTTTTGCCTGCTCTGTCTGATTGCCTCCATATTTATTTCTCAGTTTCTGTTCACTGGCTTTGTTGGTCAAGATCAACTAGGATAAAACCTTTTTAATGGCCAATTTTCCCTTTTCGTCTTCAGCACCACTTAGACAGTGAAAGTAGATTTGGCTACTGGCAGTTATTCTGGCAAGCATATATACACTACATGAGCGCAGAATTTCACCATTTTCTTTTTCCCTCCGTTTCCCTTGATCCTGTGATGCATTGACTCATTATTAAAGCTTTATGTGAGGGATGGATTATCTGTGAGTGCAGCTGTGGAATGCAGCACAATGATACAGAGATGGATTTTATGGCTCTATACAATAATTATGAGCTTCAGCACAAACAATTGGGAAGTGTGTCCTTTACCAAGAAAGGACATAAAACCATTACGACTAAAAAAAGATGTTGTGTTGTAGTTCCCCGATTGGTTAGAAGCCTTTTTGGATGGAAGACTGCCTTCAATTCATGTGCTCTCTAGTCATCTTCCTGAACACTGCAAACTGATATCACTACATTAAACTGTGGTCTGCCGCCGCCTTTCAGCTGCCAGAAGTTGGATAATGAATTGATCTATGAAAGATGCACATATGCCAGCCGATATTATGGGGTAATGAATTGATTTGTGAGAGGTGCCCTCAGAGGGTTCGTAAGGTATCCTCTTACATGAGGGGATTATGGAGCTGTAGAGACATCATAAAGGAGGCAAGATGAAAGACACTATTTGTCCTCTAATAGTAATAATGCAACCAGTGCTTTGTACCAACATCTCCTCAACTAAACGTGTAATTACGCATGTAACAATTAAACCCTTGGCAGGGATCCCGGCAAATAATTATGCTGTCATGAAATCTGTCAAAATATTGACAGCAGAATGGGGTGCTTACATCGAATTGCTGAGGCCTTTTTTTCCCCTCTGCAATTGTCTTATAAGTGAGATTAAGTTTCTTCTCTAAGAAGTGCCATGAGTGAAGAAACCATACCAGACCCTTTCAGTAGAGCTGGCCCTGACGAGAAAGATCTGATTTCCCCTCAGAGCCTTGAGGAGATGGTGCACCACAGAGACACATGAGGTCCTGTTTGCCCTTGCTGTTCGCTCTAGAATGAAAAGCATTCTCTTCAGTGGGGCACAATGAGAGCCATGTTCATGGGTGGACTTGCAATCTCCTTTAACAATGCCCATGTGTGTTTTCCTGAGTGTAATCTGATCATCTAACCCCATGCTATTGTGAGTTCAAGGGTCTCGACTGTGGGAGTGTGGCTCATGTTATTGAGGAGTGAAGATTCAGATGGAGACAATCTGTCACAGTGATAACAACAACTTGATTTATGTCTGGCAATGATTTTGATAGTCACTGTATCTAAGGAGAAAGAAAAGTATTGTAAAAGAAGTAGCAGTTTGTGTACCCTTGTGGCCCAGATTTGTTGGAGTAGTAATATTCTGTAACTCCGATATCTACCAGATTTATTGGCAACTACTCCAGTATTTAGACATACTGTTTATTAGAGAACTTCTCCCAACTAATAGTAGAACTACGTGTTTTAGGTCACATTGAAAAGAATTGGAAAACAACACAAGTCTGTCTCCTGGTGAGGTCTGCATCATCGGTAGTAGGTGCTTGGAAGCAATGTTCCTGGAGTTACACCAGAGCAATTAGATTAAGGAGGAAAGGCTTCAGTAATTCTTCAGCCAAATGTGGCTATAGATAAAGAGCGTTAGGGGGGTCGAGTGCAAAGGTAGGTGCTGGGCGGACATGATTGGATAGACATGATTGCATGGAAAAGTGGTGGGGAGGAGGCGAAACCAGGAAATGAGTCCCCCTAACCCACTGTCAGAATCCCAATTATTGCAGCCTCTTCGTCTGGAGAGGCTTTAAGGATGGAAATCAGCGCAGCACAGACAAATCCACGCCGCTGCCTTTATTTCCCTCGGTGCCTCTGCCTTTAATGGCAGCTCTAATTGACTAACAGTGCACGTGGGGAACAGCCATGCTGATGACTGGATGGCTGTCCTCTGTGTGGAACAAGACACAAAGCAAAACAAAACAAACACACCCCCTCAAGGCTTCTGCTGCATTGTGCATTGTGCAAACAAAGATGAGGGAAGGTTTGCATTGGGCTGCAGTAACGGAGGAAAGCGAGTGAGGGAGAGAGAGAGTGGGAGAAAATAAGGGAAAGAAAGAGAGACCAAAATGTCAACAGCCTGCCTACACAATAGGCATTCACACAATATTATGTTAAAGTAAAAGCCTCTCGTATTCTTGTGGATTGATGGCTACTTCGGCTGCTGTTAGCTGTTTAGTTAAACATAAGGAATACAAATTAGTGCCTCAGCAGATGTTCATTACTGCAACATTTGCCTGTTAAATGGCATTACAGACAACATGACTTAATATCTGCATCATAAGCAGCATCCCTTAATTTCCATTACTGGTTTCTTTTTTACCCCCCTTTTCTTTTAAACACGGATCCAATAAAGGATTGTGATGTGTGTTTGATAGAGGCGGCCTCTTTGGTCTATACACATTGTAGGATGTTGTAACAGCAGGAGGTGAATAGACGAGCTCTAAGACATGTCATTTTGTTCCCAGAGGGCCCCAGGGAACATTCAGGAGCCTTTATTCCTTCTTCCCCACTGTGATGGGATTTCAGTATGGCCAGGTGCTTTTTTTTTCTGTCTGCTGGTCTTCTATTTCTCTGTCTGTTCTCCACCCTGCACACATCCATATAGCAGCAAAAAGGGTGAAAAACAAGAAGAATTAAGGGAGCTTCAGATAAGGGAAAGAAAGAGTCTAATAAGACAAAACTGTCAAAATGCAGCCGTGTTGTTAGTACACAAATGAAATAACAGTAAGCAGTCATTTGTATACCCATACACATGCACTTTATTATCCTCATTTTCACAGCACATTTATCATATGTGGATGTGATAACGTGACCCGCGATCCCTGCGAATCTCTCAGAATTCAAAGATCATGGCCTGTTAAGCCTGCAAACGTTTTCCACATGGTTTTGCACATGCCGGGCTCTGCTCCATATGCCCCTCCGTCACACTCCTCATTATCCCACGCCATCTTTTGAATCTCAAATTCAGACAGTATGACCTCTTATAATCCCGGCACCTCTTTTCACATTATTGGCCTTCTCCTCGACTGTAAGGGCTTCCTGTTGGTCTGCTTCTTGCTTGTAACACCTCTACCTGTCTCACTCTGAGCCCCAAGATACTATAGGTAGTTTTCTGGGATTTCTCCATGAATGCAAGGCAGAGTGACAAGTCTGAGACCTTATGGATTTATTTGTGATTAATTTGCCTTGGACAGGCAATTCTGGAAATGAGAGCCGTGCAGTGCACAGATCCATCCATATGGGACTCTTTCTCATCAGAGACGAGGCCGGGGCTTTGTCAAAACATCCCCATGTGTTGTCTCTCAGATGTCCTCGACCCGTGTCCTGTTAGAGGAAACCTCTCTCTCTCAGCTAAGGGAGACTGATGGATAAAGCATCTGTCTGGTAAAAAAAAAAAAAAAACACAGAAAAAGAGAAACAATTGAGCTCACTGTTTAAGACAGGAATCCCTCTCGAGTATCAGTGACCTTGTTTTTTTTTT